AAAGACTGTGCAAATTCTTCGGATTACGTTACTTTTGATCATCTGCTAACATAAAGCGACGATAGAGGGATCAAAGCTGGTAAATAAAGAAATCATTCATTTGACACTTCCTAAGTCTTAAACTTAAGTTCTTAGTGTCTTGACTGTCACCCTGTGGACTCTACTCACTGACTTTTGACACGACTTGGGTTTGGACATATATTAATACAGCGATGGTGGTCGCTCGAAGACGATACATAATTGTATATTTCAGGGTTTTATTTAGAAAAAAAAAAAAAACATGGATTTGAATGAGGGGAAAATGACGGAGGTATTGCTTAAGGAAATGCAATTTAGCACTGCATATTGATGGACGATGTGTCGACGTATAAAAAACGAACGAACTTTATTTATTTTCAAAGGGTTACAAATTAGGCACGCAGGCCTGTCTTACATTCGGCCCTTCCAAACTTCCATCTTTCACACAGCAGTTGTATTTCATCAATAAAGCATGTTATATTCATGTAATGATACGCATATTATGGAAATGAAATAAAAAACAAAAGCATGGGTGGTAAAATATGTGCGCACGCTCACGCGCGAACACATACACATACAAGCCCAATCACTCACTTACACACAAACACATAGGCACCCAGTACACACATATACACACGAAGATGCACACACATAAAAACACACATACATACATACATACATACCTACGTACATACAAAAATACATACAAAATCACATACATACATAAAAACTCACATACATACATACAAAAATACATACATACATACACACACTCTGAAACACACACGCATACAACCCAGACACATACAGACACACACACATGCAGTCACGGGCACACACAAACACATACACACACAAAAGCAGGGAAACACACACACATAGACATGCGCAACACCCACACATACACAGATATACACACACAGTCACACATACGCACACAGACATACACACAGATGCATAACCCAACACAAGCAGAGACACGCAGACATTATATAATAGACACACCGATAGAGACTCACACAGATACACACTAAGTCACGCACAGCCACAGACAGACACAGATGCACATGCAGCCATACACACCTACAGACACATAATGGCACACACACACACACACACTGACACACAGAGACATACACAAACACATACTAACAAACCCACAGACGCACAAATTCTCGCACAGACACACACATGCAGAGGCACACACACATTATCAAAAAGATGAACATACAAATACACATGAAACAACACACAGAGAAACACACAGACACATGCAGGCATAGACACACTGACACACACGCAGAAACACCTACAGACACAGCATAGATATACACAAACAGACAGACACACACACACACACGGACAAACATGCAGCCAAGCCATATCCACATACAATCATACACACAGACACACACGCAGCCACACATACAGATAGACATTTAAATAAAAACACAAGAATGTGTACTGAGCAGTCAGCAAGACGATCCGATCAAGCCCTTTGAATTACTGCTGGGAGTACAAAAGCAAATGTTTGTTGTTTGCGATAAACAAGAATTGTGATGCTAACAACATGCCACAATTGAAAACAAAAACTGGATTTAATTTAATTTACTTTAAGCCAAAGCTTGAAAAAATGGATGGGTTCAATAGATGGTACTGACATACTTGACAGTTCTGTTAAGTCCATTCGCAAACTTAACCCCAAAAAAAAAACAGTTTTTCTCCATTTGTTAGATCTCTCGATTTTAAATGCACATTCATTAAATAAAACAACTGTAGGAAAAAGAATCCTCTTGCTGATGTTCCTTTAACATAAATGAGGGAAATTCTGGAAAAATATTGCAAGAAAAGGTAAACATGTGTAGGAGGATGAAGGAATGAAGATCCCATCAAAAGCAGAATCTGCTGAAACCACACAGAAGGGCCCAACAAGAAAGTGTGTGGTATGTTCAGAAAACAATGGGAACCTAAATACACGTGCAAGAACTGTGACGTTACACTGTGTGTTACATTTTGCTTTGAAATATTTCACAGAAAAAACATATTAAAAACTGTGTATTTGCTTATTGTAGTGTTTTATGTTTGCTTTGTAAGTGTGCAGTGTTTCTTTTTTTGTGTGTGTGAGTGTTGTCATAGTGCGTCTGACTTGTCAAAACACGGGCCAACTACCCAGTTCCGTAGGTTTTATATTGTTAGGGTCATTTTGCTTTTTCTTTTTGTCAGTACTGTTCATATTATGCAGCTGTGAGTAGTTTATTCATAATTGCTTATAAATATAAAGTGTAACAGTTTTAAGGTTTAAGATATTAATTATATTTTAAACACTATTGCAAAATTGAGATACTTCAGTTTTTTAAAACTGCAGTCATGCATATAACTTCAGTTATGGTTTTAGTTTATTTGAAAATTAGATAGTGGACTTTGTGGTTTTTATATTTCAGTTAGAAAGATTCATATGTGCTTCATTATTTTTTTTAAATTTGCCAGGCTATACATTTTGCTCTCATGTGAGAGACCTGGGTTCGAATTCTCAGTAAGGTTGTGGATTTTTTTTCTGTCAGGGGCCAAAATAAAATCTTAACCTGCACAGTCTATGGTAACAGCACTAGCCATGCTGGCCTAAATCTGCAGGCTCAGAGTTCCCCAGACCCTCAAACACACACACACACACACACACACACACACACAAAGTGCAGTAATGCCAGTTTTATTATACATCCCAAAGGCTAAATTTTTTTTGTATCTACTGCAGTTGTTTGTATATTTTGGATGGAATCCATTCCAAACTTTGGCATCTCTCATCACTGTTCATCGTAGAGTTTCTATTGGGCATCCTTCTTTCAGTCCATTTGTTTTCCATTTAAGTGCCTGTTTTGTTGTGATTGACAGTATATTACATTCTCCTATTCAAATACACTTTGACAACATTGTTTTGAGTTTGAAAGTAATTATAAATGATTTAATGTTTTATAAATAACATATATGCTATTAAGTAACTAAAGATCCCAAGAGTTATAGTTTGTTGAACTTTTCCTTCGGTTCAAGTAATGTTTTCCGCCACAGAAAGAGAGTGACTTCCCTTCCCATTCATGCCTCGTCACGTTGCAGGGCATCTCCTATGTTGTGAGGGCGTCATGTATTTCTTATTGTCAACGCTTTAATCGCTCTCTCTCTTCTCTCATCTTCTCACTGCTCACTTGCGTGATTATTTTCACATTCTGCTACCTGTGTGATGGTTCGTGAGTATTGAAACTGGGATGCTTTTTTTTTATTTCTACTTTCCAAGTCAGTGCCTTTTTTGTCTCGGGGGGGGGGGGGGGGGGGGGGGGGGGGGGGGGGGGGGGGCACCTAACGAACTTAGAAATACAAAAGCATCCCAGTTTTAATACTCACGAATCGTCGTGCCCTGCAGTGCTTCCACCTGCAGTACTTCTTACTTGTACACAGGCGCCTGCGGCACCTCAAAATGACTCATGACAACACAACCTCCCACAAACATTATATACACCGAGCGAAAGCCGAACCAAGCCATATCATAACACCCTCGCAACATAAGAGAGGTGCTGTGACGTGACGAGGCATAAATGGGAAGAAAAGCCACTCTCTTTCTGTGACAGAAAACGGTACTTTAACCTTGCCTTTGCCATGAATTTCCTTGACATGTCAGCATTGCTGCATCTAACTCCAACCCTAACCCTAACACATCAGTATACATAATTGGAGGCTGTTGGTCCTTTTCAGGGCCCTCCCATGCCGCCACCACCACAAGATGGCCTTTTTCAGGGCACCAGTTGAAGCTGAACTTTATGAGTTGCTGAGTGAATTACACAAGACAGTGAACTTATACTAGAGACGTTGAGTGCAAGGCGTGACACTGTGAGGTGCGTTTGTTTTTCGTTGGCACAGGAGCGGAGCATCTGTGGGGTGACCCGTTTGCTTTGAAGCTGAAACTAGGATTACCAGATTACTAGAGACAACATTGCAGATGCAGATAATGTATTTTAGGCAAACAAAAGAAGAAGAAGAAGAGAAAAAACTAACCCTAATCCTATCCCCCCTATAATATAGAACATTCTGGGTTCCCTGTGAAATCTGGGGTGAAAAAGCGGAAAAGAACCCTCCATTGTGATGCAGTTTTAAAAAAAAATATATATATCTACTATAAACCTGTGTGAGGATATAAAAGGCTTTGTTTTCTATATGCATCCAAGGTGTGTTTGACCTTTCACTGGTTCTTGTTTAAAAAAATTGTACTACTGCTTAAAGAAATCTACCTGTTTGAAAATCAGATGCCATTCTGTGTATTTGTGTGTTAAATATTCTGCTTCTTTCTTCATCAACAGGTCGAGCCAGATAGTTTCAATGACATACATCACACAAGACAGTCTGCAAGATCATTTAATCTGCTGCTTTAGGGTCCATAATTCACCTTTAAAAATCTGTCCAGTGGCCAGTTAAAAATGCGTTTTCATGCTTGGAAATGCTACTACTGCTAATATTAATAAAGGAAATATTTGGAGAAGATTTGAATCAAGTGTAGCTGTAGACAACCAACCCCTGTCTGGTACAGGCCATCAATATCCCTGTCTTGTTGTAGGGGTCATCAAAATCTCTGAACTCAGCCAGGGATTACTGCTGCTTGACATTGATTGATTAACCACCAGTGAACAGTCATGTTGGTCCTGAGAATATCTGACCTAGTTTTTAATTCAAAAATAACTGACTCCTTTGTCATCAGGTGACCTTTACCTGTATGTGAGCTGGCCTGTTGAGAATGAACTTAGTTACTTACTTTGCTGAGAGTGAGGTGGGACCTTGAAACACATCCCAGCTTCAGCTTTTTTTTTCTCCTCAGATTTCCCCACTCCATCACTAATGATTTGCCCGTCATGACAGATAGACAGATTTATCTCTGGCCTGATTGGTAGCTTTACCTCCAGCACATTGATTGTACTTTAGCAGTTTTTAAAATCACTGTTACCATGGGCACTTCGAAAGAGAGTCAAAGGAGTAGCGATGAAGATGATGGAGAGGTGATTATACCCTGGAGGTTTGTCCCTTATTCAGTTCGAAGAGAGCTGATTACTAAACTGAACCCAGATGTGACAATGTCAGGAAATGATTGGAGGATGCTGGCCAGTGAACTTGGATATACTACGGGAGAAATTAGTGTATGTATTTTTTGAGTATAAATATTGAATACTCACATTATAAATTAAATTGTTTTAGAAGACATAAGAGGAGAAATTAGTATGGGCATTGTTTAGTAGAAAAATTGATTACAGTATAAATTTTATCATTTTGGGGAACCGAACAAGTGAAATAAATGTGACTATTTGCCTTATAGAAATATATTGTATTTACTCAACACTTGAGATAAATTGTGTTAGGAAACGCTACAGTAGAAATTATTGTTACTGTGTATTTAGTAGAAAAAGTGATATAGAAATAATTTTTTAGGATATACTACATGAGAAATTAGTGTAAGAATTTGTTAAAAGAAATAGTATACTAAAATTATAGATAGCAGAGAATTTTTTTCAGGGCACAGTATAGAACAATTTGTGTAGCAGAAATAGTTTACTACACAACAGTGCTAGCCAACTGTTTAGGGTCTGAAGGCTGCTTGTTATTTCAGAAATTACTGACAGTCGACTTTATGGAATCTACAGTGTTGACTGCCAGTGATTTATGAAATAGACAGCACGACGCAGGCCACCACAGGCTATCTCTCACAGCTTACTAGTCTGTTTCTTCCTTTTTCTTAGCTATCTCCATCTGTAAACTCCAGCGGAAAGTTCTGGCTGTTCGTCCACTTCTGGACTGTTTTTTTTTTTTCTGTTTTTTCAAAACATGAGTTTTGCCTCCCTAACCAGCATATCATAAGAAAGAGTAGACTCATTAGGAGTTTCCTTTGAGGAGGGGGGGGGGGGGAGGTTCATTTTCCTGAGAGGCAATGAACCAACATCTGCATAAAGATAAGCCAGGTTTGTAGAGTGGATGTGCACACAGCACTCAAATTCTGGAACAAGACATAAAGGCTTGCACCTGATGCCTCTTCAAAACCTGACGCTGAAAGGAAGAACAGGCCTAGAGAAGAAAAAGCAGAAGAAGTATAGACATTTTTATTTATTTGGTAAATCTACGCTGAATTTTATTTTGTGAGCCAAGGGAAAACCCACCACACATCTTTCCAAGTTATGATCGATCAAAGCAAATTAGAGTCTGAGAACGTTAAATTAATGGCTAACTTTTTTTTTTTTTTAAATCAAAGCAGATTCAGGTCTGAAAATAATGAGAGTGGATGTCTAAGAACATCTTTGTCCAGTAGATACTGTAGCAAGCCAGAGTTTTGAATCAGACCACGAAGCAGCTGCCATTGCCAAACTAAAGAGACAGACCCAGAGAAATTATTGCAGTTAGCCTAAAATAGTGGCAAGGATAAATACACCAAGTGCTGATACCTGTCCAGACACCAACGTCTGTGCTGTCAGTAAAAATAGTGATGTATTTATTACAGTTCAGTTCATTTTTTTTTATTGTTCTGTTTTTGTTTAGACTAACTTGGTTAGTTGATCTTATTTGAATAACCTGTTGAATTTTGCTGTTTCAGTTTATTGAGTCCGAAAAAGACAACAATACCACTGTGCTGTTCAGACATTACGACACAAAACCTGGAGCTTCCCTCAATGATGTTTACAGATCCTTGGAGAAGATGCAGAGGCATGACTGCCTGGAGGTTATCAGAAATGCATTGTCAGGTAAACTGGGCATCTCTCACTTGAAGCCTTTATCTGGGTACATTAACTCTTAGTCCCGGGGGGTTTAGCCAAAAGGGTAATGCAGAGATATGTAAAATTGGTGCATCATTGGGCTTCTAAGTAGGAACATATTATGAGTTCCTTGGGACTGAAAGAGTTAAGAGATAAGTTGAAGAATTAGTTTCTTTTGTTTGTTAACAGTGGTTCAGAATATCCCTAAAACACATTATGTTAGCCCATTCTTTTTTAATTGTTACCTAACCCAGTCAACAAGATAAAATTGTGTTTCTGACATTTACAAGTTTTTGATGTCATGAAGTCTTTTGGAGGTGGCCATTGCACCTATGTAACAGTCTTTTGGGTAACAAAATGTGGGTTGTTGAGCACTAGTTCATTGGAACACAAGCTAAATGGTTCAGCCAGTTAAATTAACTGTCGGCTAACAGTCTACCACAATGAATAACGATGTATACACAAGTGGAAATCAGAATCACCGAGTGGGTTTCATTGTGGGGGGAATTAGATCCATTGCCCCCCCCCCCCATACACACACACACAGCGTGTTGTAAGAGACAACTAATTAGGGGTATTCCCTTCAATGTCAGAGTTTGTCTGCCTGAGAGGCAAGGGGCCAGCAGTCTGGATACAGATAAGATAGTTCTGTAAAACGGATGTGCTTGCAAAACTCAAGTTCTGGAGCATGAGCAGAGTCCAGAAGTTGTAGAACAACCAGAACGCCAGAGTTTACAATCAGTGAATGCCAAGAAGAAGGAAATCGAAAGAGAGGCCGACCATGTAAATGATGGATGGTGAGAATAAAAGAGTACATGGGAACCCCATATAGGAAGTACACGGACAGACACTGTTGCCATGTTTATTATTCACCTCATTGCTGCAAAGTACAAGAATACTAAGATAATGTGAGGATGATGTTTGATTTGCTATTGTTGTATGTAGATTATTTACATTATAGTATTAAAGTCTGTTAAAGAGGGTCTCTGTAGTGCAGTGGTCAAGCCATATACCTCATGCTCTGAAGGCCATGCATTCATTTTGCCGATGCGTCATTCTGTTCACACGGACTGTATTTACTGTACAGAGATTTCTGGGATTGTCACTGGAGCTGTAGAGTTTTTGCTTTGTGCACTGCTCTTGACAGGCAGCTAGCTTTTCTGCACAGAGACAGAGCCATATGGGTTAAAACCTGATGCAGTGAAGTCGACCCTCTCGACTTTCACTTCAAACATAATGGTAGAATATGTTGAAACTGTAAAAATATAAACATCTGTATTTAAACAATTGCAGAGATACAGCAAGCCTACAATAAATCCAACGAGTCACAGAACCTTCACGTGGCCGAGACCTCAGAAATGCTGGCCTCCAGGCCACACTACCAATGGCCTGGCTCCCCTTATGCCTGCCCTTGTTCCCATCACCCAACAGCAGCGTATGGCAGCCATCCGTACTATCCTTGCAGCCATAGTTTCACCAGCTGTGGAGGGGCAGCTGCAGCAGCTTACCATAGCCCCCACTTAGCCTCCTGTTCCTCCCCATATCATGTTCATCTGCCACCTCACCCTCATCACTCAGGGTGCCAGGCATTCAGTCCTGTGGATACGGTGCCGAAATCATGGTCAGTATGATCTTTGTCTAATGTGTAATTGTCACCTAGTTGTTTTTTTATGCAACCTACTTTGTTTGGTTACATTATTGTTGTATCTGTCCCTTTTTTGTGCGTGTCATTTTAGTCTCTCTCTCTCTCCATCTTCCTCTTCCCCTCTCTGTGTATTCTCATTATCTATGCCTCTACCTTTGTTTCTCTTTTTTCTGCCTCTCTCTGTCTCTTCTCCCTCTCTCTCTCTCTCTCTGTCAGTCTCTTTTTGTTTCTATTTACTTCTGTCTGTCGATCTGCAACTCTCTCTCTTTCTCTCTCAGTTTCTTAGTCTCTATCTCTGTCTCCCTTTCTCTTTTTTTTTTTGCCTTGTCTCTCCATCTGTCCTTTCCTCTGTCACTCTCTTTCTCTTGCTATCTTTCTTGTTATGCTCTCTCTCTCTCTCTGAAATTAACACCAATATAAACATGAATAAAGAAGACAGTAATTTAAACTCTTTGCTAAAAACCTCACAACAATAGAACTTAATCTTCTTCATTTTGCTTACTTGAAATCACCTACAATCTACTTTTGTGTTTCCTCCTGAGCGACACTGCCCACATGCTGTTCAAGCAGGCTTCCATAGAGGTTGACATCACGGGTTGTTCCATCCAGCCATAGAAAAGACCTGGCTTAATGTCTGTTTGTATTTATCTTCTTCTTCACATTCACTGGCTCTAAACTCCAGTAAAAAGTCATGGTTGTTCATCCGTAAACTGGACTTTGATCTTGATCTTGTTTCAGAATTTTAGCATGCACACCTGTTAACAGATGTTTCTTCTTTGAGTACAAACTGTTGATTCCTTCCCTGTCAGGCAGATGCGCTCAGACTTCCGAGAAAACATCTACCCTAACCATTGGCCAGGCTCCCGACTGGGAACTCTTGTCTCAGATGACCCCCACAGAGTTGTAGATAGGTCTTTACTATCCTGAGCTGTGGTCCTGGTGCATTACCGCATGCAGTTCAGCATCTCTGCATCCTGTTTAAAAATATAAATCATGTAGAAAGTTCACAGGGGCATTAAGACTGAGCTAGCTACATAAAAAGCAGCTGAGACTGGCCATACAGGGTTTCTAAGCAAAAGAGAAATGCTGAGGACGAAAACTGTTTACCAGGCCACCTAGGTGCCATCCTGACCTAGGAGTGTGAGTCATGGGCAACAATACCTCACAGAACCAGGGCGATATCTAAAAAAGGTGGTCCAAGTGACAGGAAGAGAAGAAGCAATCAACAATACTTCACAGTCCCTAGGCTTTACAAACTGGACAGAGGACTGGATGGAACAAAGCAGAATAGGAAAACTCGCTGAGGCATAGAAAAGGGAACTGACGATCTCTCTAGCAACAACATCCGACACCCCTAACTGACAGAGGAGAATGGAGGAGCGAAAGAGGATAAGTAATCTAAGTAAGAAGTAAGTAAGTAAGTAAAAAGTCCCTAACTTGGCAGACCTCCTCCTCATCCTCACCTTTTTGCTGCTGCTTTTGCTCCTCCATCACGCATTTGCCTTTATCTGGTTTGTTTTTTTCCCTCCAGAATAGTGATGTTGATTGTTCCTTTATCTGATTTTTTTTCCCCAGAAAGAGATGTTGGTCGGGTGTTATCTATGTGCCTAGATACTTAAATTTCTGAGCTTGTCCTAAAATGACTCCTTTGACTTTTATTATACTTTTAGGCACTATTTTATTTTTGATATTACGATTACTTGTGTCTTCTGTTTTCATGCTGAGGCCAATTTTATCACTTTCTGCCACCGCCATGTCTGTCAGTCCCTGCAGTTTGTTTTTTCTGGCTTGTTGCTGTCAAGAGGATGTTATCAGTAAATTGTCTACCACCAACCACAATTCCTTGCATATCTATGATAGATCTGATTATATATTTACTGTATAATGAAAACAAATCAGTAGATAGTACTCACGCCTGTCGTATGTCCCTCTTTATTCTCTGAAATGTTCCTAGATGGTTGTTAATTTGTATAGCTGTTTTTTGCTGCCAGTACATATTCTTTATTATTTCTGGATCTTTGCCATCAGTATTTAATATTTCTTGTAGTTTTTTTGGGGGGGGGGGGGGTGTGTGTGTGGTGTGAAAATAAAATAAAAAATGGTATATTTGTTCTGTAGCGAGCCAGCCTTCTCATCTCCACGTCACACAAGTTCTGTACCTCCTGGCTACGCTATGAAGCTGCAACCTGGGAGCCATAGCAGTATAGCTCAGCCATTGGGTTCAGGCTCAGAAGCTCACCAAAGAAACAGTCCCGTCACCATACGCTGTACGTCAGGTCAAGTGCCCACTCAGCATTTCTCCCCAGGACACGCAAGGCATCACGAGTCTTCATCCTACAGTCTCATTCATAATGGTAAGTTCTTTATTAACCGAATATTCACTGAAACTGTTCTGTGTAACATTGTTTGTCATTCGCTTCAGTTCAGACCTGATAAAAGGAACTCACCATGGGCCCAAGAAATAGTTCTTCTTATCATATTATCCAAATAAGAGTTCAAGCCTATGGTAATTGCCGGGCATAAACAGTTTGTTCTTCTCAAAAGAAATTCACCACATCCAAGATTGCCTTAAGCGGTTTGCACTCTATTATGCTAACTTTATTTCTGCAGTATTTTGTCCACAGGGCAAGCTCTTTATTAAAAGCTGCTACTCACTGCAACAGTTTGTGTAACTTTGTCATTCCTAGTTGCTGTTCTTATGTTAACTTTATATCTGTAGTTTCATTCACAGAAGTAGGTTATCTGTTAACAGGCTATTTTCTTAAATCATTATATGTAACTTTGTCATGCATAGTAGCTATTTTTATTTTAACTTAGTTGATAACAAACTATTCTAGCCCATGCATTTTTTGCTTGAAAACCTCTTCACAGTTTTTATTTACCTGTTGGTATCCTGATTTGATAATGCTAAGTCTCTAAAAAATGACAATTATCGGCAGGTCCTTTTTTCACAAGTCTTATTGACCTGTCAGCATACATTTTAAAAATAAAAATAAATAAAATTATTTTTAAAAATAATATTTGCTTTTATTTAAAATATTCCACCTATGAAGAGGACACTGCAGGCTCATTTACAGCATGTATAAAATAAGGACTGTACAGTCCCCACAACTTTGATAAGAAACCTGGCCTCAAGAGCAAAGTGTGCAGAGCAAGCTATGGGGAACCATGAAGGACCTGCTACTGACATGCGAGTTCATAGAGGTAACCAACCTGATGGTTTTACCTGAGCATACGAAACCGAACACAAAGAAGAAGATTTAAAATGTATACAATAATTAATGTACTAAAAGATTTTTAAAAATTGTATCATTTAATTTAACAGAAACAGTAGATAGTGTCATTCTTTTTACATAATTAATCTAGTTTAATATTATACACACTTGTGAAGTCATGGATTCTTTCTTTTAAAAAAATTATTTTACTCACACTAAATCTCATCTTTTGATTCACAAATTAACAATTAAAAACTTTTCTTAAATTGAATATTATTGCACCACTTTGCCTTGATATCCACCGAAGAGTGTATATACACAATTGAAGCTTGATAGCCTATCAGGAGATAGTTTACAAATCAAAGGCACCTATCAGGAGATAGTTTACAAATCAAAGGCAGAGTTTTCACTATAGAGACAACCTCCATGAGCAAGTTGAATAAAAGCTTATAAAAAATGTGTTTGACAATAATCATGTACTGGAACCACCATCATTGACGTCATAACACTATTTGTCAGGAAACATGTTTTTCTGATATCACAGGTAGAAATTGGACTTCTTCACATATAACAGGTTCTTTGCAGAATGTCATGCCCATTTGGCTGAGCAGAAAGCAACTAGATCTCCTGCTTTCTTTTTCTTCTCCTCCTCCTCCTTCTTCATTTTTCTCTTCTTCTTCTTTTTTCTTCTTCTTCTCTTCATTCTCCTCCTCCTGCTTCTGCTGCTTCTTCTTCTCATTCTTCTTCTTCTTCCTCTTCGTCGTCCTCCTCTTCGTCGTCCTCCTCTTCTCCTTCTTCTTATTCTCCTTCTTCTTCTTCTTTTTCTTCTTCTTCTTCTTCGGTAATCTTCTTTTCCTAAGCATCTACTCCAGCAAACAAACGCTCAAGTTCTTCACCAGTACCCAACAGTTTGTTGGAGATGAAAGGTTGTGAAGCAGCAGGTTTTAAAGATCCCTGGCTTGTTTGTTGGAGATAATGGAGTTTGTGCTTAGTGCAAACAGGTGACTCGCTGCTGTACAGAGAAAAACAGAGCCATGTGTAATAAACCTGGTGAAAGTTGGTGAGTCCTCAACTTTAAACAACAACACAGTTTTTACCACTTGATGTTTTGTGATGTCTAAGAAGATTGACTGCAAGAGATAAAATCAAGAATAACAGCATGAGAGAAACAGTTGACACGGAACCAAAACTAAATTATGCATGAATAAAAACAGCGAGTAAAACGGTTTGCTTACTTAGAGAGAAAGCCTTGTTTACCATACAATACAAGGCAGATACCCAAAGATGAGAGGTACATAGAACCCCAGGGAAGACCAAGAACCAGATGGAAAGATAACAGTTTGACGTGTCTGTGGTCAAAGCAGCCAGAAGAATCAGAACCAGATGGAAAGAAAACAGTTTGACGTGTCTGTGGTCAAAGCAGCCAGAAGAATCAGAACCAGATGGAAAGATAACTGACTTGTCTGTGGTCAAAGCAGCCAGAAGAATAAAAACAAGATAGAAAGATAACTGACTTGTCTGTGGTCAAAGCAGCCAGAAGAATAAAAACAAGATGGAAAGATAACTGACTTGTCTGTGGTCAAAGCAGCCAGAAGAATAAAAACAAGATGGAAAGAAAACTGACTTGTCTGTGGTCAAAGCAGCCAGAAGAATCAGAACAAGATGGAAAGATAACTGACTTGTCTGTGGTCGAAGCAGCCAGAAGAATAAGAACAAGATGGAAAGATAAATGACGTGTCTATGGTCAAAGCAGACAGAAGAATAAGAACAAGATGGAAAGATAAATGACGTGTCTATGGTCAAAGCAGCCAGAAGAATAAGAACAAGATGGAAAGATAACTGACTTGTCTATGGTCAAAGTAGCCAGAAGAATAAGAACAAGATGGAAAGATAACTGACTTGTGTGTAGTCAAAGCAGCCAGAAGAATAAGAACAAGATGGAAAGATAACTGACGTGTCTATGGTCGAAGCAGCCAGAAGAATAAGAACCAGAACTTTTGACATTCTATCTACTGTGATACCCAAAGTGTTTAAAGACGAAGGGAAGAAAAAAAAGGAGATCATTATATATAGTCATCTCCTTGTGAGATGCAATTTTTTGTTATTTCAAACCCTACTCTGGCTCTTGCCAGGGGCGGCAATATAGCCCGGCCATAAATATGGTCTAATTGGCTGAATGCAGTTTCTCCACTGGTGAACCTCATCCGCATGGTGGCACTTTGTGTCATTGGGTGTTTATCACTTGTGTGATGTCCTGGTGGGGTAAAAGAAGATAAATAGATAGATAAAAGGGAAATGTATTGTAATTTGAGCAGATCCTTCTATAAACCGGTAACCTTTCTCTTTGGGATTAACATTGTTATGTTTGTTGAACAATCACTTTCCAGATCAAGAAGACAGCATGATGATAGAATCTGATGCTCATCCCCCACAATACAGACATATTCCTTCTGCACAACAGCACGACAGTAATCTCAACAGCAGCATTATGGCACCAACAGCTCTGTCTGATCTGTCATTTAGATCACAAGGTAAGTGGCCAGCATGGGCTTTTTGTGTGTGCTTGTTGTCATTTGTACCTGTTTTGTGTGACAAAGTAACCAAAAGAGCACTTTGTGACACAGTCTTTTGAGCACTTTGTGACAAAATCTTCTTGCCAACCTTGTGTTATCAATGCCAGACCTGGACAATGACAGAAGAAGAGAACATAAAAATTACACTAACTGGAATGAGATTCCTGTGAAGGGCTGTCAGTATAACAAAAAGAGATAAGATCATAAACGATGAAATCCAAATGAAAATAGAAGTAGCACAGCTCTGGATTTCATTAGAAGTTCTGGAGATTCTCCTTGGTGGAGAGGTGGAATGAGTTCCAACTATCTGGGCTCATTTTGATTTTCCATGTCATCATTCTTCTCTTAGAGACCCCCCCCCTCTCCTTTTTCTCCCCCCCCCCCCCCCCAATCTTGGTTGGCTGCAAATTTCCTGTTTCTCTTTTCAACTTGTCCATGGTTGTCCCTATCTATCCTTAGCCACCTCTTATGACATGCCTATTCATTATGCCTGTATTTATATTTTTTTATTTGGAAGGATATACTTTTCCTACATTGGAATTATACCTAAATTTATCTTGCATTGACCTTGAAAGGACAGACTTTTCTTACATTGGAATTATACCTATATTTATCATGAATTGAACATTGGAATTATATCTATATTTATCATGTATTGATCCTAAAAGGACAGACTTTTCCTACATTGGAATTATACCTATATTTATCATGAATTGAACATTGGAATTATATCTATATTTATCATGTATTGATCCTAAAAGGACAGGCTTTTCTTACATTGGAATTATACCTATATTTATCATGAATTGAACATTGGAATTATATCTATATTTATCATGTATTGTTGCTAAAAGGACATACTTTTCGGCTCTCCTAGCAGATTTGGCCGGCAAGCTAAACTGCTTCGGCAGGTTTAATGGGGCTTTGTGGGAGTTACGTCCCTTCACCAAACTCAAAACAACTCAAAACAAGTCGCGGAAAAAGTCACGAATCAAATGACATACTTACCTATCATTATCCGGGTGCGTGTAGGGTTGCGTAGGGTGTCTATCATCGTCCTACGGTTGCGTGTAGGGCTGCTTATTGCGTGTAGGTTGGTTGTTTGCGTAAAATGAGGGGAGGGTTTAGGGTTAGGGTTATGGGTCGATGTGAAAATTTTCACGTAGGAGGTCGAAATAGGGGCCGACAATCTGATGCTTGTGGGAGTGGCGCCACTGAAACTCTGCCAAATATGACGCCAATAGCGGGCGGCTGGTGCCCAATCGGTGGCGAATTGTCCGTGTCAGTAGCATCCACCGTCCGTCGACTGTTTGCGTGTGCATGCGACTGTGCGCGATTATAGGGAACTACGGCGTCACAATTGTCACATCTAACGCTACACCTAACCCTACCCCTAACCTAACCTCTAACCTTAAACCCTAACCCTAAACCCTTTACCCTAAACCTAAACCCTAACCCCTAACCCTACCCCTCATCTTACGCAAACAACCAACCTACACGCAATAACCAGCCCTACACGCAACCGTAGGACGCTGATAGACACCCTACGCAACCCTACACGCACCCGGATGATGATAGGTAAGTATGCCATTTGATTCGTGACTTTTTCCGCTCGATGTTTTGAGTGCGGCCACGGGGACATAATTCCCACTAAGTCCCGCTAAGCCGGCCGAAGCAGTCGAAGCAGTGCAGCTTACCGGCCAAATCTGCTAGGAGAGCCTACTTTTCTTACATTGGAATTATATCTATATTTATCATGTATTGTTGCTAAAAGGACATACTTTTCTTACATTGGAATTATATCTATATTTATCATGTATTGATCCTGAAAGAATAGACTTTTCTTACATTGGATTATACCTCTAATAATGATATATTTACCTTGAAATGACAAGCTTTTCTTAAATGATTTAATCTTCCTGTCTGACAGGTCACATTTTGCCTCTGCCAAACAACATCAGTACTGTCGACAACAGCAATCTCTTCAGCAGTGACAGCAGTAACAGTGACAGTTTTAACAACAGACAGAAAGTAGCTCGGCAGTACTCAGACGAATGTAACATTACACAAGCCTCCAGTGGAGATAAGCGCTTCAGAAATATCAGCAGCAGCAGAGATACTCTAGGAAGCATTGAATCGATTGACCAGCATGGCCTCACTTCACAGAGAACTCCTGCCCAGGTGGCTGGCGGAATTAGACCTCAAAATAGCCACAACAAGTGCCCCAAGTTTGTCCACCCTTCAGATGCTTCAGCGTTGGGAGATTATAGAGAGAGGTTCTACGAGCCAGACTCTGAGGTGAAGGTCAGAAATGAGTCTGGAGAGCCTGTAACAATGGGTTCTGGTGATGTCTCAAACCAAGGCAGCTACAGCGAAGCCAAGACTAGCTTGGCCCACTTGGCCAAGCTGGCAACCGTGCCGGACAAGTTCAAGCCTACAAATGAGTACACAACAGTTGTTGCGAAGCAGAAGGTATTTAAATGATCTTAATCCAGTATTTTAAATAGAAAATAAAATAATCCTTTTTCAATTGTCCAGTTCCATTTGATTAACAAAAATTCTAAACTTGATCCTCTTTCAGCCGCCCGGAGGCCTGCTATATAAAGGAAGGTTCCTTGGCTATCTTATTTGGTTTCCTATTCTTTGTGGTGTGAAGTCACACCTGATATTCCTGTTCTTTATCTTCCGGTGTGGTTCTGGGTCCGGTCTGGTCCAGCTCTCTTAGCTCCTATCTCTGTGGGTTTTAGCTAACTGTTGCTGGTGCTTGGTTTAACTCGTGCTGATTGCAGCGCTGGTGAACTATTGCCGGCTGGGTTATCGCTCTGTGAAGCCGCTGGGAAAAAGTCAAAACAAACACCACGTAGCACCGTCCCAAACAATGTTTCCTTTCAGGACAACCAGGGCCGTCACAATCTGTTGTTTTGATCAGCCCACTTTTTTTATAGAGTGTGGAGAAGTAGTGGAGTTAAGATAGACTGCAAAAGAGAGAACTAATTGCTCGAATGTGCCAGGAGATTTTATAGTAAGGTCGGAAGATTGAAAGTGACAGATAGCTTGAGAGAGATGGGTTCCCAACGCTTGTACTTCTGGTGGGTTGAGGTTTCCCTATCTGAAATAAGACTGAAAGGCATTGTTTAAATACATGTGGTGTGGGGGTAGGGTGGCATAAGAGAGACTGGAATCCCCAAGTGCTGGTCCCCTTTAGTGCAGTGCCCTCAGCTATCTGCTTCAGAGCCTCGGGTGGCCTTCGGTGGTTTCCGTTGTCTTCTTTTAGTAAATATACTAAGTTGAGATTTTTTGTAAGGTTGTTTACAGAAACAGTGGAAGTACCATAGGTTTAGAGTGCTGGAATGCTTCAGAGGACATAGAGGTTGGGAGAGTGAGAGGGAAACATAGCTTGTTCTGACGGGTGTCACTGGTACTCACTGGATCTGGTCAGGTCACATCAGGTTGTGCAGCTGCTGGTCTGGGTTGAGGGGTGGCTCTCAGATCGCTTTCCCTGTTCTTGAAATGAACTGCTTGACAAGTCACTGGGTCTGGTCCTCAGTGCACTCGCTGAGGCAGTTTTCGACAGTCATTGGTTCGTTTCTTACTCTGAAGTGTAGTACGAGCTCTTGTCTTTCTAGGTCGAAGGTTTTACAGTTCAGCAGGAAGAGTTCCATAGAGTTGTTGGCCCGGTCTGGCCAGCCCCCAAACAAGCATGTCCTAAGAGTTGACTAATGGAAAGGTGGGGGGGGGGGGGGGGGGGGTAGGGTAGTGGGTTCCAGAGGCGGATAAACAACCAGAACTTTCTGCTGAAGTTTACTGCTGGTGAATGCAGAAAGAGAATATATTAAGGCCTATTGGGGGATGGAAGTGTTATTCTGCCGGGGTAAAAAAAAAGTGTCCTTACCTGAACCTTTCATGGCTGCTTCATTAGTCGTGCTGCCCTAAATCCTGGGGCTGAGTGATCTCGCGGCATGGCGTCCACCTCGAGTGCTGTGGGTCCCAGGTTCAGGCCTCGGTGAAGGCTGGGAATTGTCCATGTGAACTAGTAATTTCCCCCGGTCTCTAGGTAGTAAGACCGGACACCTGTGTGTATTGTTGCGCGCATAAAAAAATCCCTTGGCGGTTGGAAATAAAAAAAAAAGTAGCCCAATGGTGCTGCCCGGGCAAAAGTTTTGAATTAAAAATCTACCCATGTATTTTAGGAGCCTCGCAAGTGCTACGGAGTTTGTGCGCTGCGCTGAGATTCTTCAGTCTCAGGCTTGAGTTAAAAGTAGAACAAAGCAGTCTACTACCCTTGTGCCATGATGTTGATCCATTGTATTAACCAAATCAAACCCAAATCCTCAGAATCATCCTACACTGCCTTAAGAAAAATTGATAAATGCCGGCAGTGGAGAAAATTTATGTTCTGCCTTAAGAAAAATTGATAAATGCCGGCAGTGGAGAAAATTTATTTTTGTTAAGATATTGTTAGACTCATATTTTGTGTGACCTGTCTGATTGGGACAATATCACCTCCAGGTTTACTGGTCACTATTTAGCCATTAAACCAACACACACTGCGGAGGGGATCCCAACACTTAGTTCTCAGTGAATAGTTGGATTTGCATTGAGGAAAAGATGTTCTGTCAGCCAGCAGTTTAGCCCTTCTTCTTCTTCTTCTGCGAATGGAGCATAGGCCCTCAACCAACTCACGCCAAATTGTTCTATCCCTCGCTATCGCATGCAGCTCTCCCACTGTCCTCCCTATCTTTTTAACTCCACTCTCTAGCTTCCTTCTCCTGTGTTTTTTTTTTTTTTGGTCTTCCTTTATTTCTATGCCCCTCTGGATTCCAGCGAAAAGACATTCTAGTTTTACTGATCTCAGGTTTTCTCAGCGTGTGTCCTATCCAACACTAGCATGTTTTCTTCACCTCTTGGTCCACTGGAAATTGTTCAGTTCTCTCCCAAAGCTCCACATTAGTGATTCATCATACCATTTAATTACCTCTGTTTTGCAAATAGAGGGAAATTAGACCTTTGCGGATATATACAGTTTGTTGCATGTCATTTTCAAGACTTTGCAAATCAGCCCCAACATGTATTTGGCTGTGTAGTTTTGCTCATCAACATCATGTAGCAGGTCCTTGGGTTGCTCTCATCACCACCTACCCGAAAGAAACTCAGTCTCTTGACAGATTTCCTGCCTCATGCACTTTCCAACCCAAGTTGCTACTAATGTTCTGTACCCATTTTCATGCCTGTTGGCACCAAGCCCTCTTTCCTGGTACCATGCCTTCTGCTAATGTTCTTGATATGGCCAAAATATTTCAGTTTTTGAGACAAGATGCTGTTTACCAGCCAGTCTTCCTTGAAGTTCAGATCTTTCAGGATGTCAGTTTTTTTGTTCTTCTTGATCTATGTCATTCTGAGAATCTTTCTTTAGAATTTTTGTTCAAAAGCCCCTATGTTTTTCCTTAATGACTGTGAGATCGTCCATGACTCACATCCATGTGTTGCTTTGGGTAGGATGCATACCCTCAATACTGTTTAATCATAGTGTGTCCAGGCAATCTCATATTCACTAGTTAGCCATTGCTGCTGTCTGACTTAGCAGAGTGCTCATAACTATTGTCAAAGCAGGGCAAAGCAGTCTACTACTGAACCACTTGCAACTGACTTCAAGCCCTGATAAATTGGGATTGTGAAGCTGCATTCACAAGGCCTAAGAATATATACCTTGATTAAAGTGTAAATGAGCCAGAACTTTTTCTTAGAGGAATTGCTCATAATGTGCCTTTATTGTCAGTCAGGTCTTGGTCAGATATGTGTGAGTTGACAGTGTAACCGTGGTAGGTTAGACTTACACCTCAGAGCCCTGGGGAGCATTGTAAAGACCATGTGTTGTTCATGAAGTTAGACCCACACCACAGAGCCTGGGGAGCATTGTAAAGACCATGTGTTGTTCATGAAGTTAGACCCACACCACAGAGCCTGGGGAGCATTGTAAAGACCATGTGTTGTTCATGAAGTTAGACCCACACCACAGAGCCTGGGGAGCATTGTAAAGACCATGTGTTGTTCATGAAGTTAGACCCACACCACAGAGCCTGGGGAGCATTGTAATGACCATGTGTTGTTCATGAAGTTAGACCCACACCACAGAGCCTGGGGAGCATTGTAAAGACCATGTGTTGTTCATGAAGTTAGACCCACACCACAGAGCCTGGGAGCATTGTAATGACCATGTGTTGTTCATGAAGTTAGACCCACACCACAGAGCCTGGGGAGCCATTGTAATGACCATGTGTTGTTCATGAAGTTAGACCCACACCACAGAGCCTGGGGAGCATTGTAATGACCATGTGTTGTTCATGAAGTTAGACCCACACCACAGAGCCTGGGGAGCATTGTAAAGACCATGTGTTGTTCATGAAGTTAGACCCACACCACAGAGCCTGGGGAGCATTGTAAAGACCATGTGTTGTTCATGAAGTTAGACCCACACCACAGAGCCTGGGGAGCATTGTAAAGACATTGGTTGTTCATGAAGTTAGACCCACACCACAGAGCCTGGGGAGCATTGTAAAGACCATGTGTTGTTCATGAAGTTAGACCCACACCACAGAGCCTGGGGAGCATTGTAAAGACCATGTGTTGTTCATGCAGCATGATCTCTCACTCAGTCTGCCTTGTTTAGCTTCAAAAGGAAGGTAACACCAATACATTTGGAATAAAGAATGTTGCAGAAGCTATTGGATAAGATGAACAGTGCTCAGTCTATCCACTTGTCTGAGGTTCACTTCTAGACCAGATGCCAACCATAGCTAAGCACTTGGGTCTGTCTGCCCTGCCATAACATCCTACAATAGACTTAGCCTCTACTCCCTGCGCTCCTTTGCTTAAAGTCGTTAGAGCAGTGTGGGAGGTCAGGTTTGGTATGCCCCAACAGACATTCAACATTAACAGAGAACAGGTAGAACCGACTACTGTTATACTACTTTCATGTTGTCTTGACTTACGACATTTTTTTAAAACAATATTTATTGCAGATTGACATAGATAAACACAAAGATGGGAAAGGTTCATTGGATTGTTCATCTCATAGCAATGGATCATCTATAGATAGAAGTCACCCTTCAACTTTTCCCATGAGAGTGAAGGTCAAGCATGAGCGAGGTATGGAAGACATTAAAAATCTGACCATTTCCAAGAAATCAGCATCAATGCCTCAGAATATGAAGCCTGTGGAGTACAGGAAAGGTAATTTCTCCAAAGGGATTCACTATGTGCCTTACAACTGAAGAGAGAGATTCTTTGGCGTAGGGATGGTTAAGAATAAAATCATTCTTTTTAGCGTTAAATGTTTGTTCTTGTTTATGAAAGATAATATCAATAATATACGCTGATATCGATTTGGGCATATGATTCTAGATTCATATTTTTTTAGACCAATAGATTAATAATACAGTCATCAACATGACACTGGCTGCTTTTACTGCCCAGAATGTTACCTGGGAGCCAAGGTCAGATTTAAGCAAAATTCAATTTAGTGCAGATTCTGACCTAATAAATTTGTATATTTCCTGTTAAGATATGAATTCTTTTGTGTGGTATTGGTGTTACATTATTTTTGACAAAAACCCTTACAGTATTTGTAGCAGTCTGTTAAATATTATTTATTTAGATAACAAGTATCAGTGCTGTTCGATAAACAGAAGTTACTTGTTATCTGTATCAACATCCTAGTACGTCAGCCCGACCCATTCTAACTCCGTCCTCTAATGCAGCAGTTGTAGTTTCTTTGACGTTATCTTTTCATCTTGTTCTTGGTCTGTCTTTTGCTCTGCATCCTTCTCTTTTAGTATCTGTCTTGTATGGCATGGTGTCACAAGGCATTCTCTCTATGTGGGTACACCATTTGATAGACTGTCTTTGTATGTCATTTACAATTAGTTCTATGCTAACTTTTATGATGTGATGTGAATGCTGTTATGATGTGATGTGAATGCTGTTATGATGTGATGTGAATGCTGTTATGATGTGATGTGAATGCTGTTATGATGTGATGTGAATGCTGTTATGATGTGATGTGAATGCTGTTATGAGTGATGTGCTCAGCATCACACCAGCCATCTTTACTTCCCAGGAAATATCCCCATGTCCGTTTCATGCTTGATTGACACAGGAGTGTTTGATTGAACTGTTAGTAACTTGGGCTGTCTTGCAGCTGACCCAGGTTTAAATACTCTGTCAGGTCAACAGGTTATAAAGTAAACAGCAGTAGAGGTAAATACAAACAGAATGGACCCTCCAGAATTCAGCATCAAAGTTATTGGCATAGTCCTCAAGCAAGTTGTAATTATCATTGAGGTACTTGGTTAGTTGTGTATCCTCAACAGGACGTTGCAGACCCAACCCCAACAGCCCCTGGCTGTTGTGTGGTTTTTCTAGGCAAATTTACATCCAGTAGTTTGCCATTGCTTTTTAGACGGTCGGCTTTCTTGATACCACTGTCAAAACCAATGCAAGGCGCATGGCCCGCAGCTGGGATCGAACCTGGCATCTCGGCATTACAAAGCCTTCTCATCGACAGCCACAGAGCCGACTGAAGTACTTGAGTACCCTGATAACAGCAGTTTAAAGATTGTAAATGTGAATAGCCCAAGTAAAGGCCATATTTTACTAAATGAAGAATATTTTGTGCAGTCTTTTCTGTCATTTAAGATGAGGAAGAGAATTCTTAAAAGCTATATAAATCCTATCCTGATATTTGGAAGTGAATCATTGACGGTTGAATGGTTAATGAACATTTTTTGGAAGTGGCAGAAATGTGGTTTTGATAATGGATGATGAGAATACCCAGGAGAGATCAAAAGAGTATACAAAAGAGATTTCTTGAAAGAAACATGACTTATGAAAAGTTACTGAACAGTTTGACATCATGGCATGGAATGAACGAACGAACCCAGAACAATAGAAAAAAGTACACGAAACAGATAAGGTTGTGGATAGACATAACTACTAGTGCTACACGGCATGGACTGTTAGAAGAAGAAACACACAGTTGCACTGTCTTTTTTCAAAATTTGTTGGTGATGTTTACAAACAATTATTTCATTGAAATATTTTGTGAATTCTGTTGAAGGTAATAATTAAACTGTAGTTTGTCTTTTTTCCACAGTAACTTGTAAAAATTTTGATTGCAGTTTGACATTTTTTCTATTGCTCAATTTGAAATATGATGATTGTTAAGGCAGCATTCTGCTCAATATCTTATATTTGAAGGTGTGCTTTTAGTTAATTATTAATTGTCAGTTTTTTTAGTTTCCTGTTATTTTGTTTGTTCATTTTTGTTTTCACAGCATTCCGACATATTAAAGTGTTTGTAACATACAGCTACGATAATGAAAGCCACGGCAAACAGGTACTGTCCCTGTGTAAGTTTCTGCAGTCCAATGGCTTTGCCTGCTGTGTGGATGTTTGTGAGCGGAAGACCTCAGCCAAATCCTTGGAGCAGCTGGAGTGGTGCCGGAAGAAAGTTCTGGAGGTTTGTGGTTAATACATTATGTAGTAAGATGTAGTGAAGGCTAACTGTGCTAAAGCTGTCTGGGATGCCATTGTCATCATCATCATCAGTTTCTACTTCTGCCATTAAATGTTGTGGGAAGGAAAAGTTTGCGATCCATTGCTTGGTTGGCAGCAATGGGTATAATCATCCTTGTCAGTTTAGAAGCTCTTTATTGTCATCTATCTTGCTTTCTCTTCAGATCTTTTCATGTGTAGTGCCTGCACCTGGGGTTAACAGGGGTAAATCTTAGGGTGGGGTTAGCCACACACTTGATGGTGTGGTATTGTCAGTGGCAAATCTGTTGGATGTTGAAGAGTTAACAAGGATTAGCGAAGACTAACTGTGGTAAAGCTCTCTAGGTTTAACTCTGTCATGCCAAAGAGCCACAAAACAGATACTGCTTGTTTGGGGTGTTCCCTGTAAATGTAAACAAAAATATAAAAAAACTTGATCACAAAAAAAAAAAAACTTCCGGCTTATCTTTAGTGAACTGTTTAAGAGATGTATATTAGTTAATGCTTCTGGCTGTGTTCGTGATGAAAATTGAAATTTTTTTTTTAAACTTTGGTCTCCATCGTGAAGTGGTAAAACTGTTTGTTTTGCGATCTGAAAGTCATGAGTTCAGTTTACCAGTGCAGATTTTACAGAGATCTCTGGGGATCTTTGCTAGAGCTATATGTTCAAGCTGTGTACAGTGCTCCTAGCGGGCGGCTAGCCATTCTGAGAGATCGAGCCTTATGGGATAAAACTCAGTACACTGAACCTTCTGATTTTAACTGTAACTTTTAGTTCTGTTTGTCAATTGTTTTTGTAAATTCATTATTTCGTTTTTAAACTCATTTGTATTCTTTCTTGATTAATTTTCACAGGCTGATTTTGTTCTGGTTTGCATCTCTCCGAGATACTTGGAGGATATCTCACCCTCAAGCTCCACGTTACCTCAGAACAATCAGCGCAAGCTTCACACAAGGGAAATTTATGAGCTGATGAACAGCGAGTACCTGAACAACCAGCACGGCTACGACGGCGAGAGCAACAGCTGCGTCACCTCACCACCACGTTTTGTGCCTCTCCTGTTTCCGAAAATGACACACAGCCATGTGCCGGCATGGATGATGAATGGGCCAGCCTACATGTGGCCAAACCAGTACAAGGATCTGGCATGGATGCTGACCAAACCCCAGGAGAGAATCAGAGGAAGAAAGGAAGCTTTAGAGGAACATTTTGAGGAAAGATAAAGAGGGAGCTATGATCTGGAAGCTTCCAGATACAGCGATACCTCAATATTGGTCTGCTTTCTAGCGTCCAGTTTGGTATACATCCTGTTTACATGCAAGAGAAATGTTCCTTGATATATGACCTTTGTCTGGAATTCGACACATGTGATAGAACTTTTATGGGTCAAAATTAGTCTCAGCACAGTGTGCTCCCCTTGTAGACAAAACCATGACTACCTGCGAGCGTCAGTAAGCTAGTGACTACTATCCCGTGAATTGTCATGTGATTGTATGTTTTTTCACGTACATTGTTAGTAAATTAATTAACCTTCAGCTCTAAGGAAGTTAATGAGATGGGCCAAACAATAAAGGAAATGGTTGGGATCGCCATGGAGATTGTGGAACAGTATGAAAGTGGCATGTGATATGCCATTAACAAAAGTATTTTTTTTTCCCCATCGAAAGGGATTGATCATTCTCCCTGTATTTCTTATGGGAAAATTGGCTTGATGTACCTCCTGTTTGGTAATCTACAAGGATCTATAACAGAATAAGGACGGATACCACGGTAGCACTGTATATGCTTTTCTGGTGCAGAAGGAATGTTAACTTCATCATTCAGTTCTTCAGTTACATTTACTAGTCATACTACACTTTCAATTGATCAGGTGTCATCTCCTTAGTGAAAGTTGGCCGCAGGTGATCTCCTACACTCTCATTCTCTCTTCCGGGGTTGGACAGTCTGACACTGCTTTTTGCCCATCTCTTGATATGATCTTTTCTGTCGCTGTCTGCCTCTTGCTCACTTGCTTTCAGCTTTCCCTTCCAATGTGGTTCTTCTTTCCCTTGGCAGCTTATGCATGTCAGACATGTTCTCTAAATAATGGAAGACAAAAACAGAGCTTTAAAACTGATGCTGCAGAACACAATTCTCAGAATACCATGCAGCAAGAAGAGTAAACAAACAAAAACGCAGGACATCCTACAGGATTTGAGCATCGAGGACAGTTGGCTCATAAACAGCATCCTGTCCTGAAAGCTGAGGTATTTCGGCCATGTTCAACTTGATGGTGACCTGGAGTGGGGATGGAGGGAGCAGTTTCCAAAAGTGAGGCAGAGTTACATTGAAGATGCATTGGCCATGAAAGCATTCAAGCTGGAGAATTGGCTGGGACAAGAGAGAGACTTCCAGGTGTGCCATGGAAGCATTCAAGCTGGAGAATTGGCTGGGACAAGAGAGACTTCCAGGTGTGCCATGTAAGCATTCAAGCTGGAGAATTGGCTGGGACAAGAGAGAGACTTCCAGGTGTGCCATGAAAGCATTCAAGCTGGAGAATTGGCTGGGACAAGAGAGACTTCCAGGTGTGCCATGAAAGCATTAAAGATGATGGAGAATTGGCTGGGATAAGAGAGACTTCCAGGTGTGCCATGAAAGCATTCAAGCTGGAGAATTGGCTGGGACAAGAGAGACTTCCAGGTGTGCCATGGAAGCATTCAAGCTGGAGAATTGGCTGGGACAAGAGAGAGACTTCCAGGTGTGCCATGGAAGCATTCAAGCTGGAGAATTGGCTGGGACAAGAGAGTTCCAGGTGTGCCATGGAAGCATTCAAGCTGGAGAATTGGCTGGGACAAGAGAGAGACTTCCAGGTGTGCCATGAAAACATTCAAACTGGAGAATTGGCTGGGACAAGAGAGACTTCCAGGTGTGCCATGAAAGCATTCAAGCTGGAGAATTGGCTGGGACAAGAGAGACTTCCAGGTGTGCCATGGAGAGATTGACATTGTCTGAAGAACTTGCTGATTGATAATGATGGTTTTTTTTAAGAGTTAGGTCGTAATGTGGCTAAAATATTTTTCTTGACTCTTTTTATTCCCCCCCCCCCCCCCCAGAAACTTTCTTTTCATCCCTAGTTTCTTCACAACCTCTATATTTGATTTTTTTTGTTTCATGAAATATGATCTCTTCTTCTATATACCATCTTAGTTTCTTCACAACCTCTATATTTGATTGTTTTTGTTTCCATGAAATATGATCTCTTCTTCTATATACCATCTCCAGAGGCTTATTACAAATGTCTCTAGCTGCTTTTTTTTTTTTTAAATTGTCCAGATCTAAACACCAAACAGTAGTTCTGAGATTAAATAACATTTGATAATTCTTATTTTGATATGTTGTTTAGCTCTCTAGATGTCATGCGCAAATCTCTGGATGTCATGCGCAAATCTCTAGATGTCATGCGCAAATCTCTAGATGTCATGCGCAAATCTCTGGATGTCATGCGCAAATCTCTGGATGTCATGCGCAAATCTCTAGATGTCAGTAATTTGCGCATGTTGTTGGAAATAGTTTTGGCCAGTTTGATTCTTTTATAAGCTTTTATTTACTTACATTTAAATTCTGTGTTGTCTGTTATCACAGGTCCAAAATGGAAAAGACTTGTAACTTGTTCTTATATCTTTCCATTTAATGTGGTGTTCACTGCCGCTCCTATCCATATGTTGCATTTTGATGTGATTTTTTTTTTTTTTTTAAGTGATTCCAGTTCTAATTTTAGGGAAAATAACCTAAAATATGACCGCATTTAACCTGCTGTGAACAGCCTTGGTTAAATTATGTTACTGGTTTATTTGTGCCAAGTGTAACCGGCTGTGATTGAATGTTTAGTGCCAATGTTATTCGCTAATTATTTTTGTTCTAAAACTCCATTTGATTTTTTGTGCGTTTGCCCGGGTCCTCTGTATGAGTCCCTTTCAGCTGGTTCATCTTCCTGATTGTGCTTCTCATTTTCAGGCTCTGTTTATGATAGTTATAAGCCAGGATTTGTTCTCTATATCCTGTCGTATGTTTGGTATCAACATCTTTGTGTCCATCATCTATGTGGGTTTTTTTTTCGTTTCCATTGAGGTCCTGGCCTAGGGTCATTAGAGGGGGTCAGTCTCAAGGGATATATATTTACCAGTTGCTGAAATATAAATCTCTCTCTCTCTCTCTCTCTCTCTCTATATATATATATATATATATATATATATATATATATATATATATATATATATATATATATATATATATATATATATATATATATATATATATATATATATGACCCAGTGTAATATATATATATGGATTGATGGATGGCAGACAAAACACAAAGAGAAACAGTGTCTTCTTACCAATACATAATTTTTTAAATCACTTTCACTTTCATAGCAGGAGTCGCCATGGTGTTGGCGGCTAGATGCCCGCTTGCGGATGGGAAGGTCGTGGGCTTGCATCCTGACGAAGCTGATCACATCCGCCCCCCCCCCCCCCCCCCAAGTGCCAATTGGTCTGAACAAAATCTAGATCTAGTCGTATATCCCCAATATGCCTAAAGGCCAAGGAAAAAAGGGACCTTTACTTTTGACTTACTTTCATGGCAAATGGTCTTCCTATCACACACTCCATCTCTCTCTCTCTCTCTCTTTGTCTCATTCTTTGTCCATTTAGAATCTGTAGGCCTATTTTGAATATTAATAGACCATAAACAAAGAGAACTGACTGCCCATGTCAGAAGGAGACAATGTACATTCTTAGTTCATGTCATGAGAAGAAGACAACTTTAGTTCATTGTGACGGTGAAAAAACTGAAGGAAAAAAAAGGCAGTGGGAGACAGAGAAGATGCTGGGTAGTTTGAATCTTGGTATGGAAGTTTGTCTGTGGCAAAATTGATTGAAAGTAAGCCAGAAAAAAATAGACCATAAATGTCAGAGTTTGTCACATTTCAAAATTGACAGCATTGTAAAAAGTGACAGCAGAGATAAAATCTACAGCATAGACACAGCTGACAGCATGGAAACAATTCTTCGTTTATGATTGTTGGGGTTTTACAGTTACATTTGTCTATGGATGGAAGTTGTCAGGTCTCACATGAACAATCCTGTGTTGCCTCTGGAGACATCTACGGTGAGTTACAGTGTTTCCATGCTTTGCTTCCACTGCGGGCTGTGGTATAACACACAATCTGTATAGCTCTATTTGTGTTTGTTTTCCAAAATAATCTGTTACATTAGCCATTCCTACACTCTATATCTACAGGACACTACTAAATTTAAGAGATATATCTTATCGGATTTTAGTCTTGATTTATTTGTGTGGATACGCCCGCCACCTGCTAAATCAAATAGAGCCAGTCAGGATATAGGGTAATGTGCATCATCCGATTGCTGCCAAGACTACTTCGGTTTGTCCTGTGTGCCAAATTGCTCTCAGTATTCCACTGTCATTTTTCTAACTTGACAACCCAGTGTGCCATCTTGTCCATTCAGGACAATCCAGTGGGTCATCTTGTCCACTCATGACAACACAGTGGGTCATCTTGTCCACTCATGACAACCCGGTGTGCCATCTTTTCCACTCATGACAACCCAGTGTGCCATTTTGTCCACTCATGACAACCCAGTGTACCATCTTGTCCATTCATCACAACCCAGTATGCCATCTTGTCCACTCATGACAACCCAGTGTGCCATCTTGTCTACTCATGACAACCCAGTATGCCATCTTGTCTACTCATGACAACCCAGTGTGCCATCTTGTCTACTCATGACAACCCAGTGTGCCATCTTGTCTACTCATGACAACCCAGTGTGCCATCTTGTCTACTCATGACAACCCAGTGTGCCATCTTGTCTACTCATGACAACCCAGTGTGCCATCTTGTCTACTCATGACAACCCAGTGAGCTATCTTGTCCACTCATGACAACCCCATGTGCCATCTTGTCCACTCATGACAACCCAGTATGCCATCTTGTCCACTCATGACAACCCACTGTGCCATCTTGTCCACTCATGACAACCCACTGTGCCATCTTGTCCACTCATGACAACCCAGTGTGCCATCTTGTCCACTCATGACAACTCAGTGTGCCATCTTGTCCACTCATGACAACCCAGTGTGCCATCTTGTCCACTCATGACAACCCAGTGTGCCATCTTGTCCACTCATGACAACCCTGTGTGCCATCTTGTCCACTCA